ATGATTTTTTGCCTTACAAAATGTTATATTTGGCAAATGTTTCAAAATTTCTGATTTTATAAAATTTGTACAAATTTCTTTTAAAAAAATCAATTGATTTTGGCTGTAACAGATGTATCCTCGTTTTCTCAGCTTGGAAAAATGCATTAAATACGTTAAAAAAATGTAATGGGTCTATGCATAATTTCGTAGCGAAAATCGAGTAAATTTCAAACGCAAAACATTTAGCAAAAAAAGCGATTTTAATCAACTAAATATGTTCCATTCTGTTCAATGACTTTCTGCCATCTCTCCACGAGCTTCATCCCTCTTTCATAGAAGTCCTGAGATTTTTGGGCAAAGAAGTCATCCAAGTGGTTTTTAAGGGCATCCAAGGAACTCAAGGTTTTGTTATTCAAATTGTTCCGTAGTGCCCGGAACAAGTGATAGTCTGAAGGTGCAAGGTGGACTATACGGTGGATCACCAAAACATCCCATCCAAGCCGCAATAATTTTTACCGGGTCATCAGAGAAATGTGTGGTCTAGCGTTGTCCTGGTGGAACACAACGCCCTTTCTGTTCGCCAATTCGGGCCGTTTCTGATCAATTGCTCGCTTTAATTTGACCAGTTATGAGCAGTATTTGGTCGAATCAATCATTTTGTTGGGCAGCAGTTCATAATAGACGATTCCTTTCCAATCCCACCAGATACTGAGCATGATCTTCTTCGGGTGTAATCCAGCCTTTGCGATCGTCTGAGCAGCCTCTGAGCGCTTGGACCATGATCTTTTTCGATTGATATTGTTGTAGACAATCCACTTTTCATCGCCAGTGATCATTCGCTTTAAAAATGATTCGTTTTGATGGCGTTTAAGCAGTGAATCGCAAGCTGAAATTCGGTCCATTAAATTCTTTTCGTTCAGTTCGTGCGGCACCCAAACATCAAGCTTATTTACCATCCCAAGCTTCCGTAAATGTCTCAAAACAATTGATTGATCAATGTTGAGATTATGTCCAATCTCTGTAGTCATCAAATACCGGTTGGAATTGATTAAAGCCTTGATTTGATCGACATCAGTAGTGACTGGCCGACCAGAGCGAGGAGCATCTTAGAGATCAAAATCTCCGCAACGAATTTCGCAAACCATTTCCGACACACACTTCGCTTACGGCATTCTCTATGTACACGAC